CCCCCCCCCCCGCACATGTGTGGAAGCTACCCAATGATCAACTGCTCTGGGGCGACAGCTCACATGCTGGTGGAGATGGCTCTGCATGCCACTTCTGGCACACGTGCCATGGGTTCACCATCACGGCTCTAACCCATGCTGGGATAGGCTACTCAGAAGTCTGTTGCAATGATGTTAAACAATGGCTTAACCCGATACTTCTTCAGATGGAGCTATAGTTGATGACCCAGAAGGAGAAACTGTTATTTTGGATGCCCTTCCAAAACCTCAAAGAAGAGAAGAAATCATGATTCCTTCTTCTCTTCTCCTGTGATTGGATGCTGCTCCTATGTTTGTTTGGTTTGTGTGTGTGTGTGTGTGTGCCTGCTTTGTTGTCAGCCTTGTTGTTTGTTATTGTTGCTGGGTTGCTGAGATGTTGAAGCATTAATGTACCTTATCTTCTATGATTTATAATAGGGAACTTTCAGGAGAAAGGGAGATTATAAGCAGCTGGGAAGTGAAGAGAAAGTTACAAGATAAAAACCCTTGTTCTAGCCACGTTCAAGCATTAACTGGATTTGCACAATTATTAGTAAGCTGGAACCGTGGTTTAAACAATGGGCTGGCTTTGGACAATTGGGTTTTTTTCTCACTCCCTCTCCCTCCCAAATTAGAATTTAAAAATTGTGACAAAAATGTTTGGTTATTATGCAGAGCTAGTGTTAGCCTCTATTATATAACCTTATTAATATCAGCTTTTTTTTAGCATAATAAGATACCATACAACCGCCTAAAAATACAAAGTCTTTGCTTTGAGGTTTTGTGTTCAGGAAATAATTCATACCATACCATCAATGGCAACCAAATTATAAATCCATAATTTGAACCATATTTAAAATAAGAGGGTTTTGTTTAAAAAAAAAATCAGAAACATGAAACAAAAACATACAATCCCTCCTCTCCTAAAATTATTATAGTTGCTACTGAGTGTGTATGAATAAACATATAATTTTGTTTGAAAAAAATAATATCCAGGACGAATATTCTGTTCCTTTCTGTTCCCTTCGTTTATTTCAATAACAATGGTCGTCTTCAAAACTATGAATTAGCAATTGGCTAATAAGCATGAGAAACAGTGCAAACTTCTGTAAAAAATTGTAACAACTTTTAAAAAAATAAATGATATAAACCTCAAAAAAAATTTGTACCGCAAGGCAAAACTGTAGATTCTCCAAAGTGTAAATTATAGTCTAAAATGCCACAAATACACAGTATGCTATAATGGAAGGAGAGGAGGAGAAGGAGGGAGAAGAAGAGGAGGAAGAAGAGAAGAAGGGAGAGGAGGGAGAGAAACAAGAGGAGGAGGAGGAGGAGGAGGAGGAGGAGGAGGAGGAGGAGGAGGAGGAGGAGGAGGAGGAGAAGAAGAAGAAGAAGAAGAAGAAGAAGAAGAAGAAGAAGAAGAAGAAGAAGAGGAAGAAGAAGAATTAAATAATAGAATCATATAAATTATTCTCACAGATTTAAAGCAAATCAAGATTTGAAAATAAGAAGATACTGATGAAAGAAGAAAAATATTTGGGGGGTCCAAGTCCACCCTTGAGTTAATCAAACCTAAAATGCTAGTCTTTAATTATGAAATTTATCATTATATGTCTGTTTACTCAGGACTAAACCTTATCAAACTCAAAAGTTATTTCAAGTCCCTATGAGTAAAATGCCCAATTCCTAGAGTTTCCCCCCCTCACTCACCCACCCACCCAAATAGCTCTTTCCAAACTGATCGGTTGGCATCCCTTGCCCCTTCCTGCAAAGAGAACTTTCTCATGAATTGCATCTGCATGAACAAGAATAATAATAATAAAAAAAATTCCTTGGAAAGATCATATCAATGGGGCGGGGGAATGGATACAAAACAATGAAGAGTGCTATAACAAAGTGGCTTGGGATACATCAGTAAGGTTTCCCCCTGGATTATTTTACCAGACCATGTGCATGCTTTAATTGGAATATTGGTTTAATGGCTTAATTAATTAACTAAAGGAAGGATCACTTTTAATCAACAGGACTGCAAATTCAGGACACCCATGTTTGGAAGGCAGTATCATGGAGGCATTTCCATTCTCTTCCACATGTTAAAAATGAAGGATTTTTTTTTCCTCTTTCCTTTTGAATTTTGGAGAATTGTGCTGGATGGAAAGACAGCTGATTAGTGGATTCAGGATTCTGCAACTGTTTGATAGCATGCATGAAGTTTATCTAGTGGATCTAAACTGGCGGCTATACAAGAGAGTGGACGGCAGAACGCCTGTGAAACAAAATCCCCAAATTATAAGGAAAAAAAATATATCAGGAATGTTTAAACCTTTTTTTCCCTTTCAAAATGTGGATCGTTAGAAACTTTTCAATGCATTTCCCCTCTTCATTACTGTGTGCCTGATGTTCTTAAATATATTTCTCTTCACTGGATACCAACAGGCAAATATTGCTCCAGTTTAGCTCTGAAAGCAAGAGGACAAGACAGAAAATAAATATCACTAAGGAAATGATATGAAAGTGAGCATTAGCAGAAGGCTAGTAAGAGGGGGGGAAAGTGTTTGGAGAAGGCAAATAAGAAGACAGGGAAGGAATTAGGGATAAGTGAATTCTTTTAACTTCCCCTTCCAGCCAGGTCTTTAACAGTGTTTATGACTAGCTGAACTTCATTCATTTGAAGGAGTCTCAAAAGAGGCACTTTAAATGTTTGCAAGGATATGCCAAACGCTTTCAGGAAAAAAGAAATGAGGATGTAGTAATCATTACAGGAGTACATAATGTAGTATGGGTTAATGTTGGGTTGTTGTTGTTTTTTAAAACCACCCTCTACACTCCTGCAAACTCAGAGTGGACTTTTCTTAGGATCTTTTTTTTTTAAGGTCCTCTTTTGAATTCTCCCTCTTAAGTAGATAATACTTAACAGAAGTCATCGGAAACAATGGAGCTGCCTGTTTAATTAACGTGGGCTCCTATTTGCTTAATATTAACTAGGAATGATGATATGTGCAGAAGAGCTAAAGGCAATTTGGAGTTCCAAAATAATTTTTAAAAGAAGCATGTTCCCTGTGTTTGTTTTAATGCTTTTTTTAATCTTTCATTTGGGATCTGACAAAAAGAGGAGGAAGGTGGAAATGAGGAGAAAGAGAAAATGCCACCACTAAAAGAGACTGTAATTGCACTCCTTAATTATTGTCAGATTACTGGGGAAAATGTGTGGGTTTTTTTAAAACAATCATTGTAATTATTTTGGGTTTTGTTTTATTTTGGGTTTTTTTTTTCAAGTCATGTTTTCTTGACATGTTGCTGTCCAAAATAGGAAACCTGAATACACCTATCTATCCAGATGTGTATAGGATATATGCATATGCACAGATACACACACACACATTTTATTTACAACGGGTGTGCAATTCTGTGTTGATTTCTGTCTGTCTTCTCAGTTGGGAAACAAACCTATTAAAATATGCAAATGAGAATGTTTTTTCTGCTGGAGTTTTTTTTTTAGGGGCCATGTTTTTAAATTGATTTTTGGTAGCATAGACCTGCTGGATTAAAATATGTTTCCTGCTCGTTTAATGAAATGGCAATCCAGCAATTAATTCTGGAATTAGAATAGTTAAACTACTCTACAAATATTATTCAAAGCAGGTAAATGTTTACATACTCTTATAATGGGGTGCACATTCATACACACAGTTGAAAAATGGGGAAACTGCAACCACACAGAATAATCAATATCCTGTTTTTATTTAAACCATAAACAGAGAGAGAGAGAGAGAGAGAGAGAGAGACCTGTCTTGTCCTGTTCTTGCATTCACATCTCCATCCTTCAACTATCTGTTCAATGCAGTTCTTCTCAGAGAATGCAAGCGTTAATAATAAAATTCGTTGCTTGAATCCTCCTTGTGCCTGGTCCAAAGATTTATTTTATCCCTGGTCCAAAGAATTGAGCAAAAAGGTATTAGACTACAGGAGAAATGGACAACATGCCTCTTCTTCCTCATCCCCTTTCAACATGCCTCTTCTTCCTCATCCCCTTTAAACAAACAGTTGGTCTGATCACACTGCAATATTCCTAGGAAGAAAGTTGCCCACTCAAGAAGTAAATTGCTTGAATTACAGTTACCTGGAAGTATGAGGTATCTTAGTTGAATTGGGGAATCTGTGGTTTATTTTAGCCTAACAAACAAGGAGAAACAAAGCAGTTTACCTCAAGGTGCCATTGGAAAGCTTTCTTTCTTTCTTTCTTTCTTTCTTTCTTTCTTTCTTTCTTTCTTTCTTTCTTTCTTTCTTTCTTTCTTTCTTTCTTTCTTTCTTTCTTTTTTTAGGAATCCGGTATCTAGTATCCTTCTGGTTCCAAATTCCAAAAGTTTGTTTGTTTGTTTTTCCTAAGAAAGGGAGAAGTAGAGAAACTTATCTCTTAAAAACTTCTTAGCTAACCTGCCCACTTCTGAAGAAAAGTTTGCCTCTAATCAGTTGCGATTGTACCTTCTGTTTTGTCCCCTTCTACAATAATGCAGAGAACAAATCTGTAGGGTCAAGGCATCCCTTGTTTTATCTTTAAGCTGTGTGTGGGGGAAAGCCTATTTTGTGCATTTCAAGCTGCAGGGAGAAAACCCTTCTTCCCCCTCACCCCCCACTCCATTTCCTAAACTGAAATGAAAACACAAGTGAGGATGAAACCCCTTAGATAATTGAAGGGTTTTTACTAAGTGGATGGATGTGTGTTTTTAATGTATTTCTCATTTACTTTTCCTTGATCTCTTTCTTTCTTTCTTTCTTTCTTTTTTTTACTTTTTTTCCAGGAGTCTCTTGGAAATCCCAAAACATTCGGACAGGGTCACTTTTGTTTCACTTTATCTCTTTCACTTTTCCCTTTGGGAAGGAAAAAAAAACCCAACTCTGGGTCGAGTGAGTTGGGAAGAGAAGAACTCACCCTGATTCGCATCAGAGATCAGAAGGGAGAGGGGGGCAAAGTTCATTCCAACAAGATTTTAAAACATTGCTTCTTCTCCCAACCACCCCAGTCCTGCTGCTGCTGCTTTGCTCCCTATATTGAAGAAGCCTGGGGAATTGAAGAGGGCCTTGCTCCACGGCGGATATCAATGCTTCACTGAAGATTTTCACAACTTCGGATCAAGGGAGGCGGCTTGAGACAGCCGCTCGAAAGAGGCCTCCCTCTGAGTTCGCGCAAATGGAGGAAAGGATCCTGAGATGGTCCAGGAATCGCCCACCTCGGCCTCTCTCTGGGTCTCTGGGTCTCTATGTCTCTCTGTCTCTGTCTGTCGGTGTGTGTGTGTGTGTGTGTCTCTCTCTCTCTCTGCCTCTCTCTTCTCTGCCTCTCTCTCTTTCTTTCTCTCTCTTTCTCTGTGTCTTTCTCTGTGTGTGCGCGTTTCTCTCTCCCTCTCTCTCTCTGTTTGTGTGTGTGTGTGTGTCTCCCTTCCACGACCCGTGTGAAGCGCGAGGGGAATAATTAATAACTGCAAGGGCGGAAGCAGAAATTAAAGAGACGTTTGAACTCCGCAAGGCAGTTTCCAACCTTGGATTCCGCGCAGCCTGCTCGGTTCTCCCCTCACCTTCCGGCGAAGAGAGAAAGAGGCGCTGGTAAACTCAGAGGATATGGGGGGGGCGCGAGTATTCCCCCCCCCCCCCCAACATCCCCCCGGATTATTTTTTTTCTCTCTGCCAAAAGAAAGAGAGAAGTGGGCACTTTCCCTCGAAAACCTCAGCCCGATAGTTCCAGGCGTAAGAGGACGCAAGTCCCTTAACCTGGCACAATAACCAAAGGCAAGAAATCCTGAACTTTCTCGCCGCCGCCGCCGCCGCCGCCGCCTTTCCTCCCGTTTTCCACCCCAGGAGCTGCTAATCACTCCGGATCGATTTCACTAACTCTTTTCATCCCGCAAAAGACACATCTGAAAACAATTCCTCCTTGGGATCGGTTTCTTTTGTTTGTTTGGGTTATTGTTTCTTTAAAAGCACCAACAAAAACGGTTTCCCCCTTCCTCCTGCCGGGAATAACCTGCCAATGAGCACGAGATAGGCAAATATTTAGCTATATTTCTGGATAGCTCCAAGCGCCTCCTCTGGAATCGATCGATCTCTGCCCAAGCGGAGGAGGGGGGGGGTGAAGTGGCCTAGAGAAAGAGCCCGCGTGGGCGGGGGGGACACAGAGGAAGGGAGTAGCTTATGGCATAGGAGTCGAACTTCTCCCTCACTTTAGTCTCTCCCTGGAACTCGGTGCGCGGAAAATGCGCGGCGCGAGCAATGCACGCGTGGAAAGAAAAAGCGCTCCCCAGGGCTGGAAGGTTACCACTCTCGCTTTCTTCTTCCTCCTACTCATTCCCCCTCCCCTATCTTTAAACTTCTCATTTTTATTTCATTGGTATCCCCCCCACCCTTCACCTTATGTTGCCCCATCTTCCCAATACCGCCCCCTCTTCTCTGGTTTAACTTCCGACCCAAATTTGCAAGTTTGTTCTCCCGCGGCAGGAAACCTCTCTGACGCCTTTCGGGTTAAGATGGATTAATTTGCTCGAATAATTCTCTTTCTCTCTCTCTCTCCCTCCCTCCCTCCGCCCGTGTCCCAGTCACACACCGCCGTCCATTTCTCATTAATCAGGGGTTAATCGGCGCCCAACCGTAGGTTCGAATCCAGCCGCGTGTTTTAGGAGGAAAGCGTTTCGCACAGGCGGTTAAGAAAAAGCTTTAACCGAGAAATCAAAGGAGCACACCAACTTTAGACTGAAGAGGCGGGGGTGCCAAAATAACCCACACACACACACACACACACACTCTTGGACGTAGGATGGTTCTCTACAAGAGGGGAAGAAAAGGGGGAAAGGGGAGAGAAAGAGGGAGTTTCCAGAGAAATCAAAAGAGCGCTTCAACTTTAGACCGAGGAGGTGGAGGTGCCAAAATGATCCCCAATGGCGTTTGCTGGACTTAGGACGATTCTCTAGAAAAAGGGAAGAAAAGGAAAGAAGGGAAAAGAGGGAGCAGGGGATCGGCATGGAGGAAGACACCGCTCTTCCAGTGCTGTTGGTTTCCCGCCACACCTGCCTCACCGGGTAAAAGTCTGCAGCAAACACACACAATACACGCGTTAGGAAAGATATGCAAGTAAGGCGACGCAGGCCTTTCTGTGTGGGCGCGCAGCAAAACCAGCTCCAGAGAAGCGCAGGCTACTAGCGTTGGCTTGTATTCTCCCTCTCTTCGAACCCATCTTGACACCTGCTCCTCCGTCCACTGCGCATTCCCACGCTTCCAATTAGCTGGAGGCATAAATAGTCGAGCGGACAGGGAAGCCTGGACCAAGGTTGGTGTGATGGAGAGGGGCCTTTTCACTCATCCAACTGGGCAGCCGGCCCGGGTTGGGCGAGAAAAGTGTTCGAAAGCACAAGGGGAGCCACGGTCGGTATGGCCAGCCTCGCTTCCCGTTTCCGAAAATAAAGGGTTTCCACCACCACGGGGGGGGCTCTGGAGATCAAACAGGTCGTGTGAATGGCGTCAGATTCGAACATTTGCGTGTTCATCTGTCCCCCTAGCCACGGAACGAGGCCAAATGCAGGCAATTTCCCAGTCTGCTAGAATTCTAGATGGATTCTTAAAAAATAATAATAAAGTTTTAAGAAGGTTGAAGATTCGCTGGCAGAAAATTTCCTGCGAGCAGATCCGTCGGAATTCAGGAAGGCTCTGAAAGCAGTCGGATCTTGCCCACAAAGCAGATGTTTCCACACACTTGGGTGTTTCTTCTTCCCCCGCATCCTGATGTTTCTCCCCCTCCCCCCCCGCGTGTTTCTCCCCCCCCCCCATCTCCCCGACAGACTGGCAGACAGCAAGCGACTAATCTGCCCTGCAGCTGTGTTGCACCGCGATTCCTACCAGCCCCACCCAATTCAGAGATCGGGGCTTGCAGGATGAGGAAAAGTTGGGAAAGGGCAAACATCTGGAGGGCGCCCGGTTGGGGAACGTTGCCAGGCGTAGTTCTCTCTCTCTCTCCCCCCCCCTCCCGCCGGTGTAGGGACGAACGCGCGTTCTCCCAGCTGACACATGTGCGTCTGGAATAACAGAAGGACTCGAGCGTCTCAAACAAACATAAATAAACCTCGCCGTGGCTACGATTCCTCAATCCGTCCCATCATTCACACGGAGGAATAACTCTCGGGTGCCATTAGAAGGCATCTTCTCCCCTTCCCGAGGTCATTTCTCACAAATGAATCGCCCTGAAGGGGAGATGGACAAACTGCAGCAGCCCCCACCCCCCCACCCCCAAATTTGCAAGTCGGGGAGGCTCTTTCCGCTGAGACACAGACCCTCCGGTTTTCTCCGGACTGCACAGGAGAAAACCCCGGAGTTTTCCCCGCAGAGAGCGCCCGGCCTCGCGCGCCCGCTTCCCTTGGATGCTATTTAAAACAAAAAACAAAAACTAAGAGACACCTCGGTTTGGTCCAGGTGAAACCGTCCTGGGGGAGTCGGGGAGGGAAGAAGAGGCCTCCCACCTCCGCTGTTTTGTTGGGTGGAAGGTGCTTTTTCTACCCTTCATCCCTCGGCCCAAGCACGCTCTCTTTTAAGCCAGCTCTCCCGAATCTTCCCGCTCGGGACCGTAGCAAACAATTTAATTAGAGGCCTTTTTTCCTGGCCGGAGAAGAAAGAAGAGTGCGGGAGCCTTGGTGTTGGGGCAGAGCGAGCACCTCTCCGCCCATTGAAAGGCGCTGATCCGAAAAGATAGAAGGGAGAGGTGGGGGGGGGATATAAAAAGCGATTTGCTGGGGTCCTTCTCCCCCATCTCTTTCACGCTATTCACCCTCATTCACACACACTTTCTTCGAGACAAAACCCCCGCTCCTTGGCAAAATGCGAAGGGAGACACCAGCTAAGGAAAGAGAGGGGAGAGAGAGAGAGGGAGATCCTTCGTATTCCTCCCAAATTCCTTGAGTTCAAAGGGTCCGTTTGTAGGGGAGGGGGCGTCAAAATCCGACCCACCCTTTGTTCTGCTTGGTATGTCGGGGGAATTTATCTCCAAGCCAGCCAGAGTTGGTGGGCAAGCGAGGGCCTGCCAGCCTCCTTCCTCGCGTTTAGGGTTAATGCAACTCTCACCTCTGACCCCTTTTATCCCAACGCCTAGGCTAACCTCTGAATTGCAAGGCCAGCATTGGAAAAAAGAGAAGGAGAGGAGAGAGAAAAAAAGAGGGGGGGGGGGAGGAGAGCAGGAACCCAAGTACGGGGTGAAGGCCATTCCTAACCGGG